CACATTCTATCAATAAAATAATATTACACATAAATCTAAAAATTCTCCTTACTTTTTAACCACACATTCTTCCATCAATCACTGTTCAAAATCAAATTCTTGTATAAAATGGGTGTCAAACAAGGGCTAATCAATTAAAATTATAAGTTAAGCTCATCCAAACATGTCCTTTGACCTCACTAGTAACAGTATTCTCGAATATGCTGAGAATCATCAAAAAGCAAGGGTTGTGAAAAAAAAAAAAAAAAAAGACCACCACGTGTACGATCAGATTACCCTCAGCAGACTATTCGCAACATTTGGGGTAGCGTCGTGCAAACGCATTATCTTATCAAATTCCACAGTCTCTCTTCAAAGGAGCCGGAGCTTTCTCTCTCTAGATAATTTCCTATCACAAGATTATTATGTATTCGGAAATGGAAATGGAACGTGTGACGGAGTTGACGATGGATCGGCGACCGAGGAAGAGGCAGCGTTTGGGTTGGGACGTTTTACCTCAGGAATCTCCTAAGGTATTTTCAGATCGAATGTTGTATTGTTCAGATTTGTTCTCTTTTCTTTTGGTTTTTTGTAGATCTGGTGAAAAATTAGTACTTTATTCGATCAGGTACGAAAAAAATAGTTATTTTTGTGTATTTTGTAGGATATAATTGATTTTTTTTGGGAATCTGGTTAACTTTCTTAAGGTTCTGACTTGATCTGATTTTGAATTCGTAATCAACATCTGATTGTGAATCTGTAATCAACATATTTAGCTTACGTATAAAATAACGAGTTTGGAAATTTCTTGGATAAATAAATCATTTTTAAATTTCTGATTTTCAATTTATGCAAAAGATATATGTTAATGCTTCCTTATGTTATGTCAAATTAGGAATTGTTGGTAGAAAGCTACTAATTTGGATTCTCATTGATCTTCTTGTAAAAGAAATTTAAATAAAAAAATAATTCTTGGCTTCTTGATATTGAAAGTGTAGGATTATATTAGTATTTGTGTTTATGTATTAGTATTCTTTGGGTGTTATCAATATTAATATTGACGATATTAAACAGATAAGCATTGTTCTATTATCTCTCCTCTTTTTCATCATATGATTTTTATTTGGCAATGATGATAAATTTAATCTAAATTTATAAATTAATTGTGTGAAATTGTTGTAGAATTGGCTACACGAGTTTCTGTAAAAAATGTATGATTGCAGATTAACCCCTGGATTTCTTTACCATGATAATAGAGTGATGATTGTAGATATATCTTTGTTTTTGAGTGTGAGATGATTGATTGGTGAATAGTGCTTGATGATGAAAGGGATTTGTTTGGTTGTTATGGAAGGTGGTGTCGTGGAGGTAAATAAATCATGAAATTTTTATATTGAGGAAATGTGAATGAATGCCTGTGTAGGCTCAGCTAGGACTATTTTGTGGACAAGAGCTTTGTGATGTGACAAGCAATGCAACTTCAAGCGCAATATCAGACCTTCCTAATTCTCTCCTTGTTAAGGACCTGGCTCAAAATGGTTCTCCTCAGTGGCGGGAAGATGACAAGGATGGGCATTATAAGTTTGAGCTTGGAGAAAACTTAACTTCTCGCTGTAACTACCTTTTGCTATCATCTGAACAATTTTTTTAATATTTACATTATTTTTCTTATGGACTATATCAATAGGGTTTTTTTTTTCCCCTTAATGTTTCTTTTTTTTCTTTTTCTTTTTTTTTTCTGTTTCCTTATACATATTTAAATGTGCTGTGCCTGTGGGTTAATGATATAAAATTTCAAAATAATTGTTTTTCTTTTGATGAAAATACATAATGATTTTTTGCTTGCCTTTTGGATCTTGAATCATCCAATTTACGCCATGGATTCCTGTTATCTAATTATAATACTATTTTTGTATATTTGCAGATAAAATTCATGGCAAGCTGGGTGAAGGTATTATTCTTAATTCAACAAATTTCCTTGGTACCATGCGGTGCTGTTATTTCTATTGGTTGCTGAACCTTTTTTTTTTTGGCAGGGACTTTTGGCCAGGTTTTAGAGTGCTGGGATAAGGAAAGAAAAGAAATGGTTGCCATTAAAGTTGTTCGAGGAATTAGGAAATATCGTGAAGCAGCAATGATTGAGGTAGAGGTGCTCCAACAACTTGGAAGGCATGACATAGGTGGCAATCGGTGAGTAAAATTGTTTCTCATTCAACAATTCTACATATATATAGCCGGTCTTCTTGTCTTTTCTAAATTGTTGCAATAGTTGAATGTGTTTATTCCTTGCAGTTGTGTACAATTACGGAACTGGTTTGACTATCGTAACCATATCTGTATTGTAAGTGCGATTGATTTGGTGGATTAATTTCCCCAACTTAACAAATGTTTTGGGACTTAAGATTGTGAATGAACTCCAATGGTTTTAACAGGTCTTTGAGAAGCTTGGGCCAAGCTTATACGATTTCCTACGCAAAAACAATTATCGCTCATTTCCCATTGATCTAGTTCGTGAGATTGGCAGACAACTTTTGGAATGTGTAGCATGTGTGTAAATAGTCTCTTCATCCATCGTACATGTTTTAGATAAAAAAATTCTATATAATGTAGATCTCTGGAAATGATAGGATTGCCTTGAGTTGGATGACTAATACTTATATTATAATATATTCTATATATACCTTGTTTTCTTGTGTTGTAATGTTGAATGTTTCCAATATGCAGTTATGCATGATTTGCACCTCATCCATACTGATTTGAAGCCTGAGAATATTCTTCTAGTCTCATCGGAATACATAAAAGTTCCTGACTACAAGGTAGTCAGTTGTGTGACAATTATGTAGTTGAAATTTTTGCTGAATGAAGTAGAAACTTGGGTTTCCTTTTTAGAGTTCAAGGCTTTTTTGATGTTGCCTATCCGTCTGCACATATGTGCTTGTGGTAATTCTCACAGTAATTTACTGTTTTCAGGGTTCTTCAAGGTCCCCAAAGAATGCTTCCTACTACAAGAGAATTCCAAAGTCTAGTGCTATTAAGGTAATTGATTTTGGTAGCACAACTTATGACAAGCAGCATCAGACATACACTGTATCTACCCGACATTATCGAGCTCCAGAAGTCATTCTAGGTAAAAATATTTATGAATACATGTGTTTGAATTAGTCTAAAGCTTTATTTATTTATTTTTTATTATTATTTAACTTTTTTAAGATGGTTTTGCTCCACAGGACTTGGGTGGAGTTATCCGTGCGATATATGGAGTGTTGGCTGTATCTTAGTGGAGCTTTGCTCGGTAAGCTAGATATATGCCGTCTCCTTAAATTTTGGGACACAAATGGGTTTTGTTATCTTATCTTCATTATAATAGCAAGTGACTTGGCTTGAATGCTATGCTAGGGTGAAGCATTGTTCCAAACGCATGAGAATTTTGAACACCTTGCTATGATGGAGAGGGTCCTTGGACCTCTACCCCAGCACATGTTGAAGAGAGCGGAGTAAGTAATTTTACCCTTCTATTTAGTGTTGTAATGGAAAATATATCTTTAAAAGTTGCTTAGTTGCTAAATCTTTGTTATTTCCCAGTCGACATGCAGAGAAATATACTAGAAAGGGTAGGTTAGACTGGCCGGAAGGAGCGCAATCTAGAGATAGTATCAAAGCTGTTTTGAAATTGCCTCGCCTTCAAAACCTTGTCATGCAGCATGTAGATCATTCTGCAGGCGATCTTATTCATCTATTACAAGGACTTCTTAGGTATGATCCTTCAGAAAGGTTGTCAGCTTGTGAGGCTCTTAGGCATCCTTTCTTCACGAAGGATCTTCTCAGGAGATTTTGAGAAAATGGGTTAGACATATCTAATGCAGTTTCTGGCTGAGGATGAGGCACATATGATCGGTGATTGATTTATTTGGTGCCGGACGTGAGTGAAGTGGTGCATATGGTGTTTACTGAATTGTCTATTCGAGCATTCTACAGGAAATGTATATCTAACAATGCTTCGTTGATTTTTCTCTGGTTTGTACATGTTCTGACCAGCTAATCGAAATACTAACACATCTTAGATTTATAATGTGTAAGCTCCAGTGAGTAGGACGCTGTTTGACGACTGGTTGTACTGTTCTCGATGTAATATCTTGATTTTGAAGATTTTTTTATTTTTGTCTCAGAAATGCTCAATAATGTTCATCGGTGATTGATTGTTGACCATTCTAGATCTCATGCTTGATTTTTCTCTAACGGGATGCTTGTTTGTTCACTAGAGCTGCCTGGGGGTTTGTTGTTCAATTGCTTATAAGCATCTTTGGCGAAGTTCAATTAGAATTTAAGCTGATTAAGCTCTTGTTTGTTTACTATTATTTCAAAAAATTGTTTGCTACAATAAGATTCTCAATTACACAGTCATCGAATAAAATATTGTAAACATAAATCAATGAAGTTACTTTATTTTTCAACCATATATTCTCCAAAATATATTATATATTACTCTATTTTTCTCCCAGAGACAAATACGCTAATATGTTTACATATTTGGCAGGATTTACAAGTTACTGGTTGCTTATTATATACATTTGCGTAGGTCACTTCTTACAAGAACTATCAAACACGCTTAAATATGTCAGAGTTTGTAGCACCGTTGGACAACTTCGTACTGGAAGAATTTGCCTAAATTACAAATTCACGCCAAGTTCGAATCTCTGTAAAGGACAGTTTTTTGGGTAAAGTATAGCTTACTTTTGGGCATAACCCAACATGTTTGACCTGTAAGCTCATAAAATGATGGAGAGAGCTTTCAGCACATCATTCATTGAAGGTCTTTCGAATGGATCTTCCTGCAAACAGGCCTTGGCCAAGCATGCCAAGAATACAGCACCTTCCAACGAGTAATCCTTTTCCATTACGGGATCCATAAATGTCTTCAATTTCTCCAAGCTTTTCGACGATTCTTGAAGCTCTTTACATCCTAATATCTCGAGAAAATCCTTGAACGACCTCCCATTTGCAGTGATCTGTTTACCCGATAATACCTCGAGCAAAATCAAACCAAATGCATACACATCGATGGTCGTATCTATCTTACGAGTCCCTCTCGTTTCTTCAATGCAACTTCTGGATCTTGTTCGTCTGAACCCCGAAATCTTAGCCCTCCAATTTTCTGTAATTAAGATACTTTTGCTGTTTATGTTGTGATGAACGTAATTAGGCCTTGTGCAATAATGCATGTAGTGTAGCCCCACGGCGATGTCAAAAGCAATCTGTATCCTCTTATCCCATGTTAACAGTTTAGCCATCGTGAGATTCGATAAACAGTCCCTCAAGCTACCGTTGTTAACAAACTCGTACACCAGATATTGGCTCGACTCAAAACAGCAGCCCTCCAGCTTTACCACATTTATGTGATTGATCTTTGTCAATATGGAAATTACGTGATTTGCTTCTTCTGCTGAATTGATTTGCTCGATTGCCACATCAATATCGCCGGTTCTTCCCTTGTAAACTGCGGAACCTATTGCTAAAGATTCATCGAAATCTTTTGTTGCATCTCTTAGCTCTTCCATTTTGTAACATGTCAACGTAAGTTTGAACTTTGACATATAATTGAGAAAGTCGGGAGATAAATCTGAGAATTTTGATGTTTGACTAGATGAAGCATTAAATCTACAACGATCAAACTTCTGCTGTGCAAATATTAGAATCCCACTTACAATAAAGATTAGTAGAACTGTTCCAAATATAACCACTCCAAGGATTGCTTTCAGATTCTTCAATTTTGCACTCGATATGTTGTTATTCAGTGGAACTTCCGGGCGAGGACGAGAACTAGGATTTGGATCCGGTGGTGAAGACATGACATCATAGTTAAGAATTGGGACGTCTTTTGTGGGAATGAGGAGTGTTGTCAGAGGAAATATAGCATCGAAATTTCCGAGTCCATTAGCACCCGAGATCATTTCTTGAGGAACTCCGAATTTATTGGCTATTATATCTAAAGTGTCATTTCCGATAATAGGATATGTCACAAGAAAATTTGTCCCATTTCTTGCATCAGATGTATCAACACAAGCACATTTTACAGGCACACGAATTAGAGAGAAATTCTGCATACCCCCTTGAAATTCTCGGTTTTCTTCTATTAGACTTTGCGCTTTCACCAATCCTTCGAAAACTTCACAGGCAATTGCTGACAGAGATACACCGATAGACGCATTGTATAAAAAGAAAGCCTCGGAGAAGCGGTCTGGACAAGAACAGTTGACAGGCACGAAGATTTCTTGACCGTGCTGGATATTGTTTGGATCAGTTTGGGACATGTTGTTGTACGAAATGAGATGGGATGTGTTTGTATTGAACAAAGAAGATATGGAAGAAAGTGTTTGATAATGCTTTTGTGCGCGGTAGACTATGAAGGATTGACACGAAGATTTATGCGCATTGCAGAGGTAGTTTGAACCAGGATACTGAATTTCTGAAGTGCATTTCGAATTGTCATAATGTTGCTGAGAAAATGCAGGCCTAATCAGAAGAATCACAATGCAAAAGTGTAAGAATTTAGGCATTTTGGTGAAGGATTTTGATGCAACCAGCACGTTTGTTAGCATTTGACGCCAAGATGAGTTGATGAATCAACAGATTTTTGGGGTGCTTTGAATCTTTTTTGGGCTGCAGCTGCATCAGATCTGGTATGGAAAAGGGGAGGGGAAAAAGAAGGGAAAACTGAGTCAATGTTATCCCTGAAACTGAAAGTTGGCTTAAGTAAACAAATAAATTGCCGTCTGGCCGGCTTGTGGTTTTATATGTTATTACCAAGTAAAAGATTAGTATCATAGAGCACAGCTAATTGACAATGTATTATCTGGGGTGGATTTTTAATGTTATTTGAATTTACCTAGGAGGAAAGGCATAATTTTTCTTCTTTTTACCTTTTCTTTCTTTGTATATGTTACGAGGATTTGTGAGTTTTTGCTTGTTTATTCACGTTGCTTCTTGTTACTTTTTACTTGAGAAAGTGAAATAAAATGAAGTTTACATACTAACCATACGTTCATATCAATTGTCAGGTAAGATTTGTTAAAACAAATTCATGAAAACAGGTCATACTGAACATGTGCGGCTGCATACAAGAAGGGGTGGATAGCCGAGCACACTTCAACACTCCAACCTAGGAGGGCAGATTTACAACCATCCTCACTCTGGAAAGGAAGGAGAGAGCCCAGAGAGCAAAGGAAGTTTTCTTTCAAGTCAAGAAGCTTGTCGTCTTACTGATTGAGCACTTGGCAGGACAGGAATAGATTGATTAAGGATGGAATTCGCGCCTGGTAAAGTCAAGCCTAAGATTCCTTTAGTGATCGAGCCGGTTGTGATCAACAATGCATGCAAACATATCTAGTAATTGTACTTTCATGGCAAGTTTTATTTTGACTTTACTACAATCATGTTATCTCCCTAGAAGCATTAGTAGTTGATGCATGACTTGTGTGTGTGTATATATATATATAGAAGGCAACAAAGAAAAAAATTATATATTAATTTTAATTAACTGTATTAATTCCTAAAAAAAATTAGCAAAACAAAGTAGCTATAAGTAGAAATTTATGTTAAAATGAATAAACTAGAACCAATAAGTTTATGTAAATAACATTTTCTACTAAGCCTAACTGGCTCGTCCCATAAATGATTAGATTGTTAATAACATACTTGGACCTACAAATCATACTAATAAGAACTATTGAGAAATAATTTGACGACAATACTCCAGCTCAGCATTCATTTCCACATCAGCTGTGCTCTATATCAGCATTCACGATAACAGCATTCACCATTGTGCTCCCACTGCATTCTAGCAGCTTCCTTGAATCAAGGAACCAATCATTGTATCATCTAGAACCTTCTTGATGTAAATATTTATACCACCTTACGGCTGAATGAATAAATCAAGCTTGAGCCAATTCATTATTCAATTTACTTGCCTTCTAACTTGGTATCAGAGCAACACAATGGCAAACGCCAATAATTCCCCACAACACTAATGCAAACTTTGCTCAAGCATCCATTTCAAGTAACAACACTGGCTCGATGCAAGGAACCAACAACACCTCACCTTTCGGCATGAATTTAACCCAAGTGGTATCAGTTAAGCTTGACAAAAATAATTTCCTCCTTTGGCAGAATATGATACTCCCCATAATCAGGGGACATGACCTTGAAGGATATATTCTGGGGACAAAGTTGTGTCCACCGGAATTCATTGGAGTTCAGGTTGCTGGTGAAATGGGAACTAGCATTGAAATGACTAAAAATCCTGAACACACCCAGTGGAGGTCAACAGACCAGCTGTTGATGGGTTGGCTTTACTCCTTTATGACTCCGGATATAGCCATGAGAGTTATGGGAACTAAAAACTCAAACGAGTTATGGACAACAGTAAGGAAAGCTATGGAGTTCAGAACAGATCCAGGATAGCTTTTCTCACTGGTGAACTTCAAAAATCAAGAAAATGAGCTATGAGCATTGATCAATATCTTAACAAAGTGAAGATGCTAGCAGACAACCTTAAGATTGCAGGAAAAGCTGCCTCTCACTCTGATTTGGTGACTCAAGTTCTGGCAGGCTTGGATGAAGATTATACTCCAATTGTTTTTCAGATCAATAGTAGAGATAACATTACCTAGTGAGAACTGCAGTCTACATTGATGACATTTGAAAGTAGATTGGAGCATCTCAACTTAGTCAGAAATGAGATGGCAGGAATTAGCCTTGATCATCAAGCCTCAGCAAATTTTTCCCAGAGATCTGGTTCGAACTATCACCATTTTAGATCCAGCAGACCACACTCGAATGGAAGATTCTCTGGTTACAGCAATTTCAGAGGTGGAAGAAGAGGAAGAAACAGAGGTGGAACCTTCTATGGTGGTGATAGGTCTATATGTCAAGTATGTGGAAAGGCTGGTCATAAGGCAAACATATGTAACGTTTGGTTTGATGAAGGGTATATAGGTGCACCACCAAACCACAGACAAACTAATAGTCATTCAACTGCACCAGCAACCTATGTTTCAACTCCCAGCACATTGAACGATCCAGCTTGGTTTACCGATACTGGAGCCAGCAGTCATATCACTTCAGATAAACCGAATCTCATTTCACCAAATGAATACACTAGTAAGGAAACAATCATGGTTGGAAATGGAAATAAACTTCAGATCTCACACTTTGGTAATAGCCATCTTCCAACCATGAATGACAAAACTCTTGTCTTAAATAAAATGCTTCTTGTACCTGAAATCAAGAAGAATCTCATCAGTGTTTCCCAATTGACTTCTGTTAATAAAGTCTATATGGAATTCTGTTCTAACCACTGTTTTGTTAAGGATCAGCTAACGAGGGAAGTGATGCTACAAGGGAAGCTTAAGGAAGGGCTATATCAACTGGACTTGCCTCAACAAAACACCAAAACCCACCACTAGCCTACTGCTTACTCAAATAACTACTGCTACAGTGCCCTATCTTTCAATCCCAGTCTAGAGTCGAGTCAAAAATCTTTAAATTTCCAAGCTAATGTATGGCACAAGAGGCTTGGACATCCATCTAGCCAAGTGAGGTCTCAAGTTCTCAAACTCTGTAATCAAAAGTTAAAGACGAATTTCTGTGATGCTTGCCAATTTGGGAAATCACATCTTCTACCTTTCTCTCTTTCAACTTCACACGCAAAATCACCCCTGAATTCGTGCATACAGATCTATGGGGACCAGCACCAATCCTATCAACATGTGGTTTTCGATACTGCATTACATTTCTAGACGATTTCAATAGGTTCTTTTGGATTCCTCTTAAACAAAAATCTGACGCTCTAGGTGTGTTAATCCAATATAAAAGATTAGTGGAAAACGAGCTTGGAAAGAAAATAAAAATCCTTCAATCTGATTACAAAGTTTCTATTACAAGAGGGTGTTGATTTCGGATATCCCCGTCCCCTTACTTCGGCTAAAAATGGTAGGATTGAAAGGAAGCATAGGCACATCACAGAAACAGGGCTCACACTTCTAGCACAAGCCAAAATGCCATTAAAATACTCGTGGGAATCTTTTCAAGCTGCCACTTACCTCATCAAGAGATTGCCTACCCCTATACTTGAGAAGAAATCACCATTCCTGACTCTTTATGGAAAAGAAACTGACTACAAATCTCTGAAAATTTTCGGCTGCACCTGCTACCCCTGTCTTAAGCCCTATCAAAAACATAAATTCAGCTTTCATTCGACCAAGTGTGTATTCATTGGCTATAGTGAGTCTCATAAAGGGTACAAATGCCTAACTTCAATAGGGAAAGTCTATATCTCCAGGCATGTGGCTTTCAATGAACTCGAATTCCCCTTCGAATCTATGTTTTCAAGTTAAAGCCAACAAAACTCTGTTAACCCAGAAACTATAGTATCCTATTTTCAGTTTCCACCTCAACCACATAACATTCAACCCATAACAAATCCTGCTGATATAGTTCTTCCAGAGGCAGCCAATATAGCACATCATCCACGTCCTAGCTGACATAACGATCGGTTTGAAGGAACAAATAATGAAGAGGATGAAAGTAGAAGCATTGGTTTGAACAGAAATATGAGCAGCCAAGAATTAAACCAAGATGTGGAAATAGAAATTGAACATCCTCAGAATACTGAAAGAGCTGAAACGAACTTCACAACCAGCCAGCAACAAGTTGAACTTCAACAATAAGTAGGAACCAATCATTGTATCATCTAGAACCTTCTTGATGTAAATATTTATACCACCTTACGGCTGAATGAATACATCAAGCTTGAGCCAATTCATTATTCAATTTACTTGCCTTCTAACTTGGTATCAGAGCAACACAATGGCAAACGCCAATAATTCCCCACAACACTGATGCAAACTTTGCTCAAGCATCCATCTCAAGTAGCAACACTGGCTCGATGCAAGGAACCAGCAACACCTCACCTTTCGGCATGAATTTAACCCAAGTGGTATCAGTTAAGCTTGACAATAATTTCCTCCTTTGGCAGAATATGATACTCCCCATAATCAGGGGACATGACCTTGAAGGATATATTTTGGGGACAAAGCTGTGTCCACCGGAATTCATTGGAGTTCAGGTTGCTGGTGAAATGGGAACTAGCATCGAAATGGCTAAAAATCCTGAACACACCCAGTGGAGGTCAACAGACCAGCTGCTGATGGGCTGACTTTACTTCTCTATGACTCCGGATATAGCCATGAGAGTTATGGGAACTTAAAACTCAAACGAGTTATGGACAATAGTAAGGAAAGTTATGGAGTTCAGAACAGATCCCGGATAGCTTTTCTCACTGTTGAACTTCAAAAATCAAGAAAAGGAGCTATGAGCATTGATCAATATCTTAACAAAGTGAAGCTGCTAGCAGACAACCTTAAGATTGCAGGAAAAGCTGTTTCTCACTCTGATTTGGTGACTCAAGTTCTGGCAGGCTTGGATGAAGATTATACTCCAATTGTTTTTCAGATCAATAGCAGAGATAACATTACCTGGGGAGAACTGCAGTCTACAT